CCTCCGCCCTGACTCTCCCTACTCCCCCTCTCTTCTCAGCAGGGCTTGGGAGCGGCCTCTGCGTCCTGTCTCCAGAGAAGTCATAGTCCGCTGGTTCAAGGAGGAGCAGCTGCCTCGCCAGGCTGGCTTCGAGAGGAACACCAAGTCCATCGCCCCCTGGTTCCATGGTAGGACAGCTGGCTGGGTCTCAGGGCAGACACCTTCCACATCTGCCCCTCTTTCTGAGACTGGGAAGGAGGTTCTGAGGGACTGTTGTAATCAGGGGAGTAAAGGACTTTCGACTGCTAATTTCACTTTCCCCACAAAGATGGGCCAGTCTCTCAGGCGTAAGAATCCACTCTCCTGGCTCGCCCGGTGACACTGGAGTGGACAGAGGTCCCGTGTCTGTCATTTACTTGTGTACTGAGTGTGCTGAGTTCAAGGCACAAGTTCTGATCTCCCCAGGGCATGTGCTGAAACAGTGACCTTTTTTGAGGCCCTAGGAGACCAAGGCATGACATCTCTGGGCAGGAGCCCAGGAGGCTGGAGGCACCGGGCATACTGAATGCACGCTCCCTCTTCCTGCTGGGAGGGGATGAACACGACTCTTGCCCACTGCTCTCACCTTACAGCCTCCTTGGCCACCAAGGGCTCCTCAGAAGCGTGTTCTCTGTGCTCACAAGACAATGAGCTCTCAGCGGGCCCGCATCTTGTTGTCTGAGCCTGCATCCCCAGACCCGGCCGTGACCTGGCACACAGCAGGCTCTGAGCAAATGCTTGTTGATTAAGTGACAGAATGGCTGCCGGGGAGGTGAGAGTTATCCAAACACAGAACCTTAGGGCTGGGAGGCTCCTGGAAGTATTTCGTTGCTTCATTTTTACAGATAAGAAAACAGGTCTGGAGAGGGGAAGAAGTTTTTATAAGGTCACAAAAAAGCTTGTAAAGTCGTGTTCAAGAATACACCTCATAGCTCATGACCAGTTCTGTGATCTGAACATGTAGAAGACTCGAACAGGGAAACAGGATTGTGATTCCAGCAGAGACTTGCTGCAGGGAAATTGAAGGGGCCACTGGCCATCATACCCTCTTTATCAGTTAGTGGTTGCTGTGTAAAAAATTACCCCCAAACTCAGTAGCTTAAAACAAATAAGCATTTATTATTTATTTATGAGTTTCTGAATCAACTAGTCAGTTCTTCTGGAATGGGCCAGCCTCAGATGACCTGAGCTGAGCTTGCTCATGTGTCACCAGACAGTTGGCAGGTCAGCTGGGGCTGGCTTATCCACAATAAACTCCTCTGAGACAGCTCCTCTCTGCTCTATATGGTCTCTTGTTGTCTAGCAGCCCAGCCAGACTGTCAGTTTCTCTGGCTAAGTTGCATCTTGGCCTTGCTACCTGAGTCTCCCTTCCTCATCAGGGTTGAGCCCAGGTTTGCCTGAGGACTCCCCTGGTCAGAATTGATCTCTCCTGCCACAATTAGTATCCATCTTACCTTTACCCGCCTCTGCTTCCGATCTGCTGGCCTCCTGGAAGCTTGACTGGCCTCCACATTGCCCTTCATTTCCCCTGCATTTGTCCTACTTCCTGGCCAGCTTCCAGGTGTTCTCATTTCCATCCAGATGGAGGGATGAACCCAGTCTCATGGGAGGCACTGGAGACTCTGGGGTCTTGAGAGCTATTAGGGAGGCCCTCACAGGCAAGCTCTGGATGTGGCTCTAGCTCCAGGAAAGGCAGCTGGAGTGATTAGAAGAAATCATGCAGGGGAGTACAAGGCCATTTTCACCTTCATTCCCACCTCCAGGAGCCCATAGAGTTTGTGAACTATGAAGTGCAGACAGTAAGCACACCCTACAGATGGGATGACTGAGGCAGCACTGTCAAGGGATTGCCCAAGGACACAAAGGTCACAGAGCACCACCAGCCTGCAAGAGTGTCCTCACTGGTCCTTCTCTTTCACTCTGGCCCCTGTTCAAATCATCCTCTGCACAGCATCCTGAGACTTTTTTTTAATGTGAATCAGGTCCTGTCACTCCCTGCTTAATACCCCCACTTACCTTTGCAGTTGCAATAAACTTCAAACTCCATGCTGGGGCCCACAAGGTCCCAGGATGATGGGTCTACTTCCAGCCTCATGCCATGATTGTTTCCTTGCTTTCACAGCTCTGGCTTTTCCCTGTTCCTCAAACAAGTCATTTTCTTTCCTACCTCAAGCTCATTGCACTTGCTATTCCTGTTTCCCCAGCTTTTTGCATGCCTAACACAGTCTCACTTTTCATCTGAAATATCCCCTCCTCAGAGAGGACTTCCCCAAACCCCTTACCTAAAGCAGGCTTCACCAATTCTGTTAATTCACTGTTTATTTCTTTTTCAATTATTATTTTTTTTTAAGAATTTTATTGATTTTTTTTAGAGAGAGAAAATGAGAGGGAGAGAGAGAAACATCGATGTGAGGGCAAAATATCAATTGGGTGCCTCCTGCAAGCCCTCTACTGGGGATCAAGCCTGCAACATGTGCCCTGATCAGGAATCTAACCAGCAACGCTTCAGTGCGCAGGACAGTGCCCAACCAACTGAGCCACGCTGGCCAGTGCTGTTCATTTCTTTAGTATTTACTCACCCAATTGGTATTTATCTCGCTATTTACTTAATGTCTGTTCTCCTATCTAATTGTAAGCCTGTGAAGCTAAGGCCCTTGTCCATTTTCCCTAACGTCTACCTTGGTAAGTATCCATGGAAGAATAGATGAAGGCAGAAATAAGTGTCAGAGTTGGGATTAGACTCCAATCTTTCTAATTCCAAAGAACAGCCCTTGCTTCTCTGCATTGGGCCCTGGTGGGTATGTGACTCCCCTCAGGGCCCGATGAGTGAGGTTTCACCGAGAGCAATCAGAAAACCTAGAGCCACACGTAAGAGGGTAGGCCAGGCTTCCCAGGTGCCATGTGCTCACCCCGGCCAGGGCCCTACCTATGCCTTAGCGTCTCTGTATTCAACCCTCACCTCTGTTTTCTTTAATTTTAAAATTTTTATTAAATTTATTGGGGCCTAATATATGGTGATGGAAGATTTCACCTCTGTTTTTTGCCCAGAAACAAGGAGCTCACTGTCTTTCTCTATTGCACTGTTGTTGGGCTCTCCAGCTCAACTCATGGCATCCCCGTTGTGTCAGTCAGATTACGCTTGGTTATGCCACCGTGACAAATGACCCCAAAGTCTCAGCGACTTCCAACAACCCAGACATTTCTTACCCACGTTACATGCCCATTGAGTTGTGGAATTTGATGTGGGCCTCGAACCTAAGGAGTTGCCTCGATTGGGCACTCAAATGGTCCTGTGACGGAGGGGAGAGAGAGGCAAACCACATGCCGGCTCCCGAGGCTTCTGCCTGGAACTGACACATACCATTGTTGCCACATTTCTTTGCCCAGAGCCAGCTTGGCATCTGTGGTGTGGGTGGACAGTTTTGAGTGGTCGTAGAGTCTGTTACAAGCACCATATGCTTTTAGACCCCCTCTTACTCCACACATTGGACAGAAGATGAAGTGGCTCAGAAGGAAGACAATCAGCTTTCCTGGGTGACCTAGCCACGTGTCCCTGGAGCTGGTCCTGGCGGTTCACTGTCTCTCACCTCTGTCCCATTACATGTCCCTGTAGTCCTGAGACAGCTTCTGTGTGAATGACTGCTTTCTTTTTCATCCACACGTTATTATAATCTTGGAAGCATAGCATCAGCATCTTCGGCACCGAGTAGTGCAACTCAGAAGTTCTGTGGGGTGGGGGTGGGCAGGGCACTGGGTGCTCTGTGGTTTGAAGCAGACAAAGGAGAAGGCGAGATGGAGGCGCTCAAATTTACCTTTAGCTTTATTTTCTTTTAATCCTCGCCGAGGACATGTTTTAATTGATTTTTAGAGAGAGAAACACTGCTCAGCTGCCTCCCATACACACCCCGACCAGAGATCAAACCCAAAACCTAGGTATGTGCCCTGACCCGGAATCGAACCTGCAACCTTTCAGTGTATGGGATGACCCTCCAACCAACCGAGCCACCCGGCCAGGGCTTTAGCTTTATTTTCTATCCTGATGAGAAACAACAACAACACAAGTTTTATATTATCCCAGACCAAACAGACCATGATGTCAGTCTTGCAATTTATGTTACAGTTTTGTGTTCCGTGGGCAGCTCCACCATAAAGCGCGCAGGAAAGCTGCTGATGCGTGGACCGGAGCTCTTTAGTGACAAAGCTTTCATTGCTCTGTGACGGAGTGAAGGGAAAAGCTCACACGGAGGGCGGCCCACTCTCTCTGCTTGGAAAGGACGGTGTCATGCTCTAAGATGATAGTCTTTCCTCGGTTTTAGTGTCTGAATGTCCCATCTTTTATGACCCAGTGGTGACAGGAAGCGGTAGTTACTTTTATATACTGTGCTGCTTTTGCTCAGGAGCAAGGAGACAGCAGCTCCATGTTGGTTTCCCAGCTCTTTGGAGTAACTTTACTCATATCTACAATCCCAACGACTGGAACTACTGATACGGTCCCACCTCTTCCCCACTAGGAATTCCTCGACAGCGTTCCTGGTAGGACTCCTGGCTAATCCCTGCGGAGGCGAAGCCTCCTGCCCCACGGCAGCCCCCACCAGTTAGGGAGCCTGCGCTGCAGGCCGGCTTCAGGCCTGCTCCTGACCGGCGCTGGCCGGGCACCTGGGCCGGCGGCTCTGCTCCGCGCCTCTCTCATGCTCCTGGGCCCAGCAGGCTAGCCCGGGCTCGCTCTTCTCAGGGGCCAGACAGCAAGAGGCTGCTTGCTAGACTCCTGCCGTGTCGTCCTCGAACCAGCACACTGTCACTGTCACCCCATGCCATTGGTCGCAGTATGTCACAGAGTNCTGCCATGTCGTCCTCGAACCAGCACACTGTCACTGTCACCCCATGCCATTGGTCGCAGTATGTCACAGAGTCGAAGGGTGGGAAAATATATCCTGCTCTTTTCGTGTGAGGAGCTGCAAAACCCTATGTGAAAGGGCATGAAGCCAGAGAGGAGCGGAGAATTTGAACCAGTAACGCAGCCTCTCACAGTGCTAATGTAAATCGCTCTCCCCGACACCTGGGTAAAACATTCCTAGCTAATTTAGCTGGATTTCAGACGCAGGTTAAAAATGACTACGGTGACTTCTGTTTCCTTCCCTTCCCTAAACCC